TGAAGACTCGGAAAAAACCAGAGGAAAGTCCCTTGGCGACTGCACACTTTAAATTTAAATGACGTGGCAAATTTCGTGCTTTATTTCATTTTTATTCCCTCGGAAACTGTTATAACTTTAAACAAATGCTGTACCAATTACCATCTCGTTATAAAACAGGAAATAATATTCATCTAGATAATTTTGGGGAGGAATTTTCGACAGTGGTTTTTAGAAGGGCAGATCATCTCACAACACCTAACAGTTAGTTTGTTTCAAGGAATTAGGTTTTTTCGAGTTCTGCACCGTTATATTGAAATCGTGAAAACTTTCTAAATGCGAGATTAGGGGGATCTTTCTGGACGCTGGCTAAGCAGATCGAAAAAACTTCTCAAAGAGTAGCCTTTTACCGCTTTCGTTCCAGGATGACGGTTGTAACCGACTTAAAGGCTAAGGCGGAAGTGCTTTCCAGGATCTTTACCCCCAACTCCATACCAACGTCCGAGTGCCGTAGATTTAGGCGTAAGACCGTAAGATGGGTGCTCTTATCGCTCGACACCAACATAGATTCTGCTTCGTACTTGATTCCTGCCATTATACTGAAGAGATGTGCAGTGGCGCTTGCTTCAGTTCTTTCGAGTCTCTTGTAGATATCTTACGAATCCGATTCTTTCCGAGAAAACTGGAAATTGTCTCATGTTTTGCCCACCCAAAAATAAAGATCTAAGACGGGTACTCCTTTTCATCCCACAATGTCAAAAATTTTGGAATGCAGGAAACTCAAGGAAAATGGAGCCGACTGGCAGACTGTAAAGACATTTCACGCACCAGACCTCGATGGGTACCTAGACATCGCTATCAACAACAACACACAGTGCTACTGTAACCTCATCTTCATTGTCATCTTTGGGATTAGATCATCTGCCGAAGACCTTTTTGTTGTAAATAAATAATCAAAAGCTTACCGGAAAACACCTTTAATATAAAATTTATGACCCGCTGATGTACTGCAAGCCAACCGAGAAATTTTTCTCGAGAGGTACACCTATAATAAGCAACAGCATTTGCGAGAAGATTTTAACGGAGCTCGAGATAGGCATAAACAGAGCTCGTGGTATACATGCTCGTATTAAAGAAATACACCAAAAGTCGAGAATAGATAGAAAAAGATCCACCAGAGACTCGCTAATTTTACAAAGGATCAAATACAAAAAGAGGAGGAGACGTATCTTCTGAAAATCTTGCAGAATGATAGTAATCATAACAAAAAGAATTCAGAAAGCGTTAAGAAAACAACAACAATCCTTGCCAATAGAAACCAGGTTGAAGTGAGCTTGTTCAACTAACTAGTTCAAGAAACAAATATTCAACGCAGTCTCAAGGGATCAGAAAACCATGCCCCCTTGTCATCTTTCCTTGAGACAACCCTTCGAGAATGAGAATTGAATAATGATTAAACACATTCAAATCATCAAAAGCACAACGACCAGATGGTATCCAAATAAATGCTATAAAACATGCAAGAGACACATTCAAGCTCAACTGGTGCATGTTATAAATTGGATTCTTAGTACTGGATATCAACGTTGAAAATTGGGTGGAATCATATTTCTCCATGAACGTGGTACAGATCCTAGATTATCAGAATAATACAGGCCAATCACTTTGCTCAATATAATGGGTAAAATTAGGGGAAAAGTTATCCTACTAATCATGCCTAGTATAAGAAAAATCATTCCAGAATATCAGCATGGCTTTATCATAGGCAAGGGAATACAAACACAACTTTTCCGAACAGTTAAAGTTATTACAAATGGAATTGCATAACGGCATTACGTAGCAGCGGTTACTACCGACCTCTCAAAAGCCTTTGACTGTAGTACTCATAGTGATCTTGTTTATAAGTTACAAAAACGGACATCCTAACAATGTTACCAAAATTACAGAAAACTATTTGCTCATCCGACGAATACGCGACAAAAACAAATATATATACCACCAACCCTACGGAGTACCATAGTGATCTTCGGACCCTACCTGTGGAATCTTTTCATTGCTGATCTGCCGGTAGAAAACATTGCAGGACAAACGAGTGCAACAGATGCAAAACTCTGTATTTGCAAGAATTGTAAAAACTGAGTTTTGGTCACTTAATATTATATGTTTCCAACCACTACATGCTAGTACAATCAGCAATGTGGAAAAGAGACTATTTATTCAGACTATGCCATGTAAAATCGCACCTTGTGAGTCTGGGAAAGAGAGAAGACGTGTAGTTCAAAGAGAAAATTGGGAAAGCGTTAAAATGTAGATCTTAAGGTAAGTTTATTTATCTTTTAACGATGACTTATGACTAATGTCCTTTTTTCTTTAGGACAAACCCAGACGATGCCACGTGTCGCCACGTAAAGAAAGGATATCGATGTAGAGATTGGCAGATCTTTGATTAGAAAACAAAGACAACAAGGTTCATATTCTGCAAACAAAACGATTCTGTCATGTTAAGGGGTGAAGTCTCTTACAAGTCAGATACGGGATGTGAGAAAACGATAGTGAAGAAAGGAAAAAGTATTCCACTGAAACCAGATATCCAAGAAGTTGGCAATACTTTAAGAGGCGGAAAATCTTCCATAGATTCCTTACTTAAAAACCATTATGCAAAAAACTGGAGAAACAATCAAGATCTCCGCTTATACAAAATAATAGATGTACGTCTGACTAACAATACAGAAGACAACGTTACGTCTTTTTTTATGTTGATGCAAATGTCGTTATTTAGCTATCTCATTTGCAGAGTTCTGTAAATGTAACCTTAAAGTGCTATTTCCGAAATGGAGGATGAACAATGAAATAAACAAGCCTCTATCTCAAAGATGTGCTGCCGTTTGGAAGTACTGAGTGGAATATTAATTAACAGTTTTTGGTGGTTGTCTCAGAATCAGTTAGATATCAAATACAGGCTTTTACATCTAACATACTCAAACGATATCAAACACAGTCATCATCATACTATGATCGGTGGGAGCTTACTTGTTTGGCGAGATTGGGGAGCGAACTGTCATATCCCTCGTCCTCGATCAAAAACGATACTATGGACTAAATCTTAATAAAACAGTAAGCATGGACTGCCTCATTAAAGAAAGAATCCTCAAGGCTAATGGAGCAGCTCACGCTCTGTCTCCAATCACTGGCTTTCCCTCGAATGTTTCTACATAAGTGAAATTTGAAAATACCTGCTACTAACATACTACTGTGATTCCACGCTTAAGTAAAAGTGGCATTCTTAAATTAGAGGTGCCTTAAGAAGGTATATCAAAGAGCTGGGCATCCTATATTATATACTTTGGTAGATGCTGCAAAAGGACAGTGTGTAACACCAAGGAAGACAAATCGGTGAAGACGATATTGACAAAAGTAGATCTAGGCAAGCCAGCCTCCCAAATTTAAGCGTCATGTGCATTGTATTGACGCGAGTGACCACCCTGTAAGCCTTTACACGCGCCACCTCGCTTACGAACATACTTATATCGATACCTAGTCCGCTGATGAGTATGGATAATCAGCAATGGATTATAAAAATTAAACGGGCTGACACGTGAGGGTATTCCCAGTCTGGGAGCAGTTCCCCTCGGGGGTCAACTCTTGTCATTCTTCCCTGCGAGAAGACCAGCTGAGATCTACAGTGTAGCTAGAGTGTGTACTTTTTTTATATGTTTATATTAATAGAGCTTCTTTGTGAGAACTTGCGACTATACATATGTTCTTTTAACATCTCTTTGCAGTGCCAAGCGAGATTGCTCAGTCCCAAACAATTCATCTCCAAGTCACAATCCTGCCAATATCTCATAATGATAATACTTTATATAAAGGTCTTATCCTCGCCCCTATCCTCCTCCTCTTATTTCACCTCTTTCCTTAGAAGTAAATATTTTGAAGGGATACAGAAGCAATATATTTTAGTTTTTCATTGTTTATATATAAGCCAAAGGCATCATACGTAACATAATCTATATAAAATAAGGGTTTCAGATGGAAATGGCATTCTACCTGTAGCTATATTGCTATATTCCAGCGTACAAAAATTATCTGAGATAAAAAGATATATCGTAGCGTCGACTATGGGTATTTGTCACACATGTATCTCTGTTTACTATACACGGCGTCTGAGAAAGGTTCGGAAATCTCGAAACTGGAGTTACTACAGACCAAAATATGTGAATTGACCTGAACATACCTTAGTCCAAAAGTTGATAGTTTGCGAGATATAGGGTGTCATAGTTAAAATTTTATTTTCTATTTTTCCTTATTGCTTGAGAAGTATTCTAGATTTTGCTATAAAACTCAGTATAGGGAGGTATTCTAATATGGGAAACAAGAATCCGTTATTTTTTATGGCCAAACTTCTAGAGGGCGCCACTGGCAGCACTATTTCGGTAAAGAACTTATCATAACTTCTTTGAGCTACCCTGTATACAAAAAATCCTAATTTCTGATATTTCCACAACAAAAAAGGTTTCTTGTTAGAAGTGTCTCAAGCTAATAGTATTCGAGATATTTGTTTTTAAAAGTTCCAATGCATTATTTGTACCATGATGACAAAACATTTTTATAGCATAATAATCAAGTTGCTTTAAATAATATCTGAGTAGCGTTGCTACGGTTTCTAATGTTTGTCATAATATTGCTTAAATTTTCATTGATAATTTTAAGTTGACAATAAGTTAACGTCATGGAGTATTATACTCTGATATGCATTTAATGTACGGATTGGCAAGATGTAATGCTTTAAAAGCTTGAAGATTGTACGCTGACAGATTGCCTAATAGACACCTGCCAAAGACTTTCCAAGGAATCGATCAGCGATTACGATAAACTAGTGAGAAATGAGTAGTATAAACCATTTGGATTTTAGGTAGTTTTGCTCAAAATATGGGCTGACATAGTGAAGCTCCCAGATCTGTACGTACAGCTGAAGTTGAAGAAAATGTTTTAGATGATGTCTTTGAGAATCCTACAGTTGGTTAGGAATGTAGCTCGAGAATTTCAAGTTTCCAAATGTACAGTAAATACCATTTTTCAAGAGCAGCTTCTCCATCCATACCACCTGCAAAAAGAACATGGTTTCAGCGCGGATGATGAGCCCGCAAGGGTAAAAATTTGTACATGGCTCTTAAGGAAATTTAACCACGACAATGCTTTTACTTCCTTAATATTATTTTCGGACGAATAGGATTAGGAAGGGATGGGCCCACTAACTCGCATAATCTTCACATTAATTTATGCAGACGAAAATCCTCATGCAATAATACAAACCCGCCACCAAGTATCATCTTCCATTACAAACACGCATGAATCTGTGGTTTATGCACGACGGCGCTCCATCTAATCTTAGTATACTAGTTAGAGAGCACCTCGAGACCAGTGGATAGGCCGATCAGCACCTGTATCGTGGCCGGCTAGATCATCAGATTTTAATCATATGGATTTCAACTTCTGGGGTGATTTGAAACGACGCGTTTACAATACGCCAGTGGAAACTGCTCGAATCCACTTTCCTCCTTTTTGCGAATTTTGCCCATTATTTTCCTACTTTTTGATATAGGATATATATATATATATTTTTTTTTTGAAAAAGTTAGTGATCATAGTTGGCGCTGTCTATATGAGCATATACAAGCATATAAGACACCAATCGGTTCAAAATATATATAGTAAATAGACAAACAGCTGTGACAAATTCTCACAGATGGCGCTACTATATCTCATTTTATCTCGGATATTTTTTTTATAGTAGTATATCTTTAGGTTGGATACTTTCAGTTACAATCAATGCATAAAGTTTGTGAGAGAAACGTCGAGGTAATCCTCCCCCATCCAGTTGCCAGTTCCACGTCGACTAACAGACAACTGCAGCAAAAGCGGAATTCTATTTCCATCTCTTAACATCTCATAAATCGCAAACGACTTTGTTTATTACGAACTAAAAACACTAATAAACGAACTTCACCCTAATCTGGGTTGATTGGCTACATTTGCAGTTACAATTATTCAACTTTTAAAGGTTTGTGTGTTTGAGTTTAAAACAATATCGTTTTAACGATACTCTCCAATGCCAGAAGGAAGCATACATTTCGTGGACATGTGCATGTCTCCTTTACTGTGATAACGTTGCAACTTCGGAGCTGTGAACTTTTACGACCGGTTTTTCTTTTGTCAGTACGTATGATATGCGTACAATGTATCTATCTATGGAGGAAAGTAAGTAGCCATTTGGAAAGTTGTCTATACTCAGACGTACCTACAGGGCCCTAGATTAGATCTATACCATACTGATAGTTCTAAGAAGCATAACATATCAAATGGTTATGATCGTAGAGACGGAAAGTAAACAGATCGTAGTCAGCTTCTGTTTAGTGTGCAATTTTTGCATACTACATCAAAGCCGGTAGCATGTACATCACACATATCTACCTAATTTTTTTCAGTTATACACTAGAAAAGTACTTTTATGAAGCCTCTACCATACATATGAGTTTGTTGGTGGCACAATTCGAGTGGGTACTGTGAATTTTTTATATGCTTACTACAGCATTTTATTTATCAGGACTAACGGTTGAACTTGCATTATGCTATAAATAGCTAAGCGCTGCGCACTCTCCGCTCCAATCTCAAAATTGTATGAGAAAATGTTAGAAAAAGAAGTTGCAGATAATTTTATTCTTCAAGTTTTATGACCTTTGACATCTTAAGCCGTGGAAACGAGACTTTTAGAATGGCAAAAGAAAGGTTTCTACAAGTTTCACTATCTAATATAATTTGCTATGTTGAACATTTTATTCAATATAATACAGTCACTAAAAGTGAAATCATGATGGTGACACCAATTTGAATTTTATTGACCCTTTTTTCACTGCCTTATCTTTTTGGTTGGCTGTGAAAGGATAATGTGACTATCCCGAAACTTTTACTCCTTATTGTAGGCTCTATAAGAGATGCGTGCCAATTTCAGTTCACTTAATTTTTACTGGTTAAAATGCCGCCCGCAGGGAGGCGCCTAAGTTGTTGCCCATTGCCAATAATTTTAGCGTAAAACTAACACTTGAATTTTTCATCATTTTGAAGCTCTTCGTCAATAGCAAATTACATTTTGCTAACTTGGGCACTTCAAAAAAATTAATAGGGAAGAAGGGGTTACTGGAGAAAAATACGGTATAGTAGGTATTTTACCGTTTCCTTGTATCAAAAACTAGGCCACTTGAACCAAAATTGTACTTATATACTGCCTTTATTAAATTTTGACATCAATGCATTTCTTTTATTATTACAATATTACAAAATATATCATTGATACCGTTATTTACGAGGAATAGTTATTTTTTCACCTTGCCAAATATTTCATATGAACCCCTCAGCACAAAAGCAGTAAGTCAATTTATCAAAGTAAAAAAGCAAACTACACTGATTTAATTCTCTGAGTGATCCGAGTACTACCTTTTTACGCTTTATTACCTATTGTGATGTTTATATATTTAGTTTTTTATGCAATAATCCTAATATTTGTAAATAAATATTTATTGTTATAAATAATTACTTTTGCTCCGAATGAAGATTTTTTTAGAATGTTCTTCGTTTAACTTAACATATAAGAAAACAGGCTGTTATTAGTTTATTGTTTTAATAATTATTTTTGTTCAATGTAACTATTAAATGTAATTATATAATTAATAAATTCAATTATCGTATTATGAAAAGATTTACTTCAATGCTATTTATGTGAATTTCAATATGAGTAAATTATATTAAAATTAGACATAATTTTGCATTACTGCGTTCATCCTTTGAAAAGATAATATGAATAGATTACGAAAAAGATCAGTAAATTTGTTTTTGAAAAGTATAAAAGCAGCAAATTATTTGTTACTGTTTCTTGATTTATGACAATTAAGGAGCAAATGTCATATATTTTAGTCCTCGACAACAATTATGATTCAATCACATTTAAATCACTCTATATAAAGTCATGTAGCTTTGCTATATTCATTCACTATTGTTCTATCATAATAATACTATTTAGTCCATAAAAATCACATTGATCTCAATTTCATCAGACTTAGTTTTTTACACCTTTCCGCCTTTTGCCTGTGTACGGCAGTACGATTGCCCGAGGTTAACTTCCGTAAGCGTTTTACAATAAATATTACTTTTAATTAACATCTAATATAAAAACTGATTTCACTTCCCAATTTTAGCTACAAAGTATTGTGGAAAAAGCTGTATTTTTCATTAAAAATTAGTTGATGTATTTTAGAACAGGTATCATCAATTGGATATTAGAATATATTTAAGCAAGATGACATTTGACAATACAGTCACTATAACCATCTCAAAAGAAATAAATGCAGAAGTTGTCCCAACTGTTTTTTGTAGGATGACATACTGACATCACCTCCAACTGTAGGCAGAAAACGGTATCTATAGATATTTTTCTTCCTTAGTCAAAGTTTAAAATACTCGTAGGCGACTTTCTTCAAGCTTCTATTTAGCTTGACCTGCTAGTATGTAGTAGTTAGCATATTACAAATCATAAAACTGAATCTAACTTTACCCAATTGAGTTGAAATCACCTACACGTTTGTTTGTCATGACAATTCACAAAAAGGCTACAATATGGCGATTTATCATTCACATAGTGAGCCCTATGACATGGATATAAATTGAACGAGCTTGACGAGAGTAACACATTAGGTGAAGTGGCGTCATGCTAAATCCAACATGGCGGCCTCCGCAAAATGGCGATTAATCATTGGCCCAGTAACTCCTATGATATGGGTAGCCATTGAAAATTCTTGATGAGCGAAGAATAATAAGTGAAACGACGTCATTCTAAATCTAATAAGACGGGCGTCTAATATGGTAATGGTAATCTATTATGATATAGAGCTGATCTGATGATAGAGCCGGAATGTGGTCATGGGAAGGAACTCCTTTGAATTCCATTCTTCTTAACAACTACTCTGGTCCTAGGATCTGACGATTAAATTATTGGATATTTATGTTAAATAAACGATCATTTACAGTCACGGTATCAAATACAGCTTTTTAAGGTTAGATGGCTCGTAAAAATTTAGTTACCTTTGTTTTTTGATCAAATGAACAAGCAACTCATAGGTATAAGTACGTCCACCTTTTTTACGTAGCATCTGATAAAAATAAAGCAGTTCCATGCAGAAATATTGATAAAATGTATGCAATTATATGGAGACTATTAAACTATCTATTTAATGTCATAAATGCTAAAAACTAAAGAATAAATAAAAGAAAATAATCATTTCTCAAATCAAGCTATTGTTTAGCCGTTGATAACAGAAAATAAAAATTTGAATATAATTTACACTTCTTAATCTTTAACCGATAATTTCATGTTCATCATGACTTTTCAAATAAGTGTGTTACATTTTAATAGCAAGAGGTGAAAAGGGGTGTAACTCGCTTCAATTTAAAACCCGAGACGGAGGAGCTTCATCATCATTGAAAGATCATAAAACGGCATGTTCCCAATTAAAATAAATTATTATTAAAGGTTTAGCTCTTTTCATTAACGGCAATAACTATAAAAGCTTGCTTTTGAAAATATTTATCTATTACACATTTACGTTCACAAAATCTCTGAAACTTTACCTCCATGTCCTGACGGTGCAGGCTTGGACCCGAACGGCACCAGCACAGCCGACGAAGCAATGTTTTTTCCCAGCTTCGTGATTGTATCTCCCTTGTAGCTGACCAGATTCCCGCTAGCACTGACCAGTTTGCCGCCACCCTTCACCAGCTGTCCAGCTATGGCTATTCCGCTACCTTTGATGGCCTTCACGACCTGCAGGATCGTGTTCAGGAGGGACTTCTTTACAGACCACCAGTCGAAAGAGGGGTGCGGATGTGGGTGTTCGTAGCTCTATATGGAAAAAAATACAGGGTGGTTCTTTAGTTTGAAAAATTGCAAGGCATGTCCAATTTTCCTCCAGCTAAGCGGTATTAGTGTGGTTGGAGGTGGAGAAATAAACAGTTAATATTCATTTATTTAGCGGATAAATGAAACTTATAGATGCTACGTGTACCGAGATAATTTTTCTCTTAGTTAAGGATGTTGTGACTGTCGGGAGGGGGTAGATGGTCTCAAACTATCGAGCGTGGAGGTACCACCAGACGGATCTCTAAGGCAGAGCTAAAATGTGTTCATGTCGCGCCACTGTGTGCTCAAATCGTGTTTTGTTTACGGCTATTCAATATTGTGTTTAGAACAAAATTTAGAGCCTATTGATTATTCTGTATCAGTATTCTAAGAGGCCTTCTATCTGCCACTGAAAATGTTTGCAAGCTGAAATTTGAAGGATTTGAAATTTATTCGATGAAGAATCATCTTCACCATCACCGTTCAGCAGCAAGACATCCGGTAATGTTCCGTCTGTACAGAGAAATATAACCATAGTTGTGTATCTATTACTGCTAATGAAGTTCGTATGCTAAAAGCAAACAAGGGTTACGATTGAACGTGCGTCGATTACCGAGCCATTAGTGGAGATATCAAGAGACTAAGGGCCTTGATTATGCAGCTGCAAAACGACATCAACGAACTGAAGGCTGCAAATACGTGAGTTGTGGATTCTTCAGGATTCAACTTCGAGGATGTCATATCGGAAGTAATTGAAAGGGAGAAGCGCAAAACTAACATAATTATATTCAATGTTAAAGAGCCGGACCAGACGAAATCGAAAAAGAAACAAACCGAGGGTGAAACCACTGCTGTTTTGGATATAGTGTCTAATGTTGATCCTGAGCTAACGCTGACCTATTTGAAACGTATTAGAATGGGGTCATTCGCTAAAAACAAAATGCGTCCTATAAAAATCTCAGTCGAAAGCCATTATATTGTTCAAAAAGTCACTATAAATGTAAGAAAGTTTAATACTAACACGATCTATAGCAATGTCAGGATAGCTCCGGACCGAAGGAAGAAGCAGCTGGAGTACTATGAGGAGGTCAAGCGTGAGCTGACGCAACGGCACAATGCTGGCGATACAAGCTGTCGCATAAAATATGTCAACGATATCCTAAAAATAGTACAGTCAAACTAAATTCACCCAGTAGTATTCAGCAGAACCCAGTGAAATTGTACTACCAGAACGTACGGGGACTTAACAGTAAAGTGGATACGTTTTCTTCCAGCGCCAGTGATTGTGAGTATAATATAAGTACACTTACGAAAACCTGGCTGAAGCCAGTTGTTTTGCTTAGTGAATTATTTCTTGAGAACTATGATGTACATCGAAAAGTCAGGGATCACAATCGGATCGGTTTACCGGTATGCGGCGGCGTGTTATTGGCTACGGATGTTAACCGCAAGTCTGAAATTGTGAATACTACTGAATTTGAAGACAACTTTCCTTTTTGCTTTGCAAGTGCAATATATCACGCTATATTTTATCTGTGTTCGAAAGAGTCGAGAATATAGACTACCTGTATTCAAAAAGATTAATCGTCATGGGGGATTATAGAAAAACCTCAATAATCAACAATTGGATCACATTGTCTGGTATTCACCAATATAACAATACCCCGATAGCATTAAATATGTATTAAATATTTTAAAAGAATATTTGTTAAATATTTGTAGCGATAGATTTTTTAATATTTAATAAATATATTTCTTATATATTTATAAAATATTCATTATAAATACTTTTGATATATATAATTCATATATTTTTGCGATATTTTTTCCAAATATTTAGAAAATATGTGCTTTCCAGATTACTCCCTTTTGGATTGATTAGTTATCCTAGCGAGGAAGAAGCAAAAAGCTACCTGTCTATGTCCAGACAACAACTTTGATTTGCAACTGGCATTGCAACTGAACACTGTCAGATAAAGATGCATCTCTGTAACATGAGAATGAGTGATACATAAATCCTTATGCAGATGATGTAAACAGGAAAATGAGACAGGACTTGTTTTGAGACTGCCCAGCTGTCATATCAGTCCAAAAATCCATTTTGGGGGAACGGTGAACTTCTATAGCTAAGGGAAACTCCGCTGGGTCGCATTACCACCTTTTTCAATAGTCTGGGTTAGCTGTTGATCCAGACTTGAGTGACCCTTGGGAAAGATGCACAAAGGGCCCACTGGGGTCTTTTCTTCTTTTCAGAATATAGAATACTTCATATAAAACTGAAGAAATACTAAAATATCCAACGTACGCACATTGAAAATGTCAATCAACAATACTCCAAATGGAGGCATTCAAAGTTATTTATTTACACACCTCTAGTAAAAAATCGAGTAACTATAACTCAATGAAAAACTTCCGTATTCGAAAATGCTCGGCGGAGGGGAATTCTGGAACCTTTGGTTTTCAATGGATGTGATTATTCTGAATTGTTCTGCAAGTTAAGAAGCTTTAGACACGATTTTTTGTTAATACAAAATATTGTATTTTATCGCCCTGTGTATTTGAATCTAAGCATCTTCTTCAAAGTCATGCAAGAACACAGGCAAATTTCATTTTTGTGTGCTTCTGGACTGTCTGACCTTCCTGCGACGTAGATAATGTAAAATCACTTGAGGGAACAACGTCGAAGATAAAATTTGTTTTACAAACATCTACGGGATTAACTGCAACATTGATGCTGATCATCACTACCTGCAATCCAATCGTCCCGCCATGCTTTTCTGGGCGGAGACAAAAATCGTTCGTCATCAACAAAGCTTCTGGTCCGGACTTGATGCCTGCCATTGTACTGAAGAGGTGTGCAGCGGAGCTTGCCCCAGTTCTTTCGCGTCTCTTAAAGATATCCTATGAATCCGGCACCTTCCCAGAAAACTGGAAATTTGCTCATGTCCCAAAAAATGGATTTCAGACTGACCCTTACAACTACAGGCTTTTAGCTCTGCTTTCTGTTATAAGTAAGGTGACGGAGAGGTGCATAAATCGCGAGCTTCCGGACTACCTCGAACGTCACAGCTTGATTAGCGACAGGTAGTATGGTTTCCGGCACCAACGATCCATAGGGGACCTCCTAGCTTACGTCACGCAATTGTGGAGTAAACTCATCCAGTCTTATGGTGAGGCCCATGTCGTTGCCCTTGACATCACGAACGCGATCAATCAGCAGTGGTACGCTGCCCTCTTAAACAAACTTCCATCCTATGGCCTCCTAGAAAAGCTTTGCAGATGGGTGGCTGACTTTGTCTCTGACCGCAACATATCCGTCGTAATTGACGGGTTCTGCTCTTCATCCCACAACGTCAACGCGGGTGTTTCCCAGGTATCGGTCTTGGCTCCGACACTGTTTCTCTTACATATCAGCGACCTCCTTTCCTGCACGATCAACCCAATCCACAGCTTCGCTGATGACAGCACTCTACATGCAGGAATTCAGAGTGGTAAGCCGATCTCTGCCGCTGAGCTGGAAAAAAGAAGGCTAGCGACGACATCCTCTCTGACAAGAGACCTGGAGGATATCACTGCTTGGGGATGCAACAATCCTGTACAGTTCAATGCTTCCAAAGCACAGTACTGTACTTTGACGAACAAAAAGCGTCCTAGCGCTCATCCAGTTTCGATGGATGGCCGAGTTCTGTCAAAGAGCCATTCATTTCGGATGGTCGGAGTCCAGATCACCGAGGACCTGATCTGGCACGAACACATCTCTTCAATAGCTGCAGCTGCTGGGAAAAAGCTAGGCTATTCGTTTAGGGCTAAGAAGTACTTTTCTCCGCATGACCTTCTCACTCTATACAAGGCCCAGATAAGGCCTAGCCTTGGAAACGCTTCTTGACTTTAAGATATTTAAAAGTACGGGTACGCAATTGGCTATAATTTATGCGTGGGAGATACTGTGTCAATTTAAGTCACTTATTCTCTCTGATACAGTCTGTATAAGCAGTTCGCAGAATGAGTTTCTGGGGGGTTATGAGGCCTAGTATATGTTGCGATTTGATTAAGTTTTTCTATTTTGAGCTTGTGTCTTTATCATTTGGCGTTATTAGTAAACCAGGATTTTTGGTAACTCCGTCATATTTATTTAGTATGAAAGCGATGTGTGAAATACCAGAAACAGGCCATAAGAATTTTTCTTAAGGTATCCATCATTCGATAAAGGTACTAACTTGCGGTGGCCACCAGAAGTCCTGCCTGAGTCATGTCATTTGTAATATTACTTTCTTTACCCTAGATGAATCCAAGCAAATGTCTCATATTAAGGGATATCGTGTTCATATTACGGTATTCATGTTCGGATCTCGGAAACGGTTTTAGTTACGACGCTGGTTGAACGGGGGAAAGATTGCCCACTTAGGTAGGAGTTTCGGAATTACAAGTCTTTCCGGAGATAGACCGAGAAAACTGAATTTCCCAAAATAGTTTTTATATTGTCCTGACTTTATTTGAGACGCGATTTCAAAATCAATTGAACATTAATTGTCGTCTTTGCTTCTCTACAAGGCCGCACAATTAAAATTTCATTATGGCGTTTACTCTTGTGTCCTCAATAATCTACATATTTTTTAATATACTAGTAGACGTAATTTTGGGTTTTCTCCTAGGTGAATTGAGTTTCAAATTTTGATTCCAAAAATACAATATAATATACTCAGTGATATTAGAAATGTTACACCCAGAAGAAATTATTTTTCAACTTGTTTTTTGGGCAACATAATGACTATATTTCAAGCATGCTGTGGCAACAATGCCAACGTTTTATCTTTGTTTTTGTTTACCTTTGTTAAGATGTTATCTCTTAGATTTTGTTAAGAAACCAATTTCTAAGAGCTGAGTAGTACAGATATTTTTAGTTATTGCCCTTTCAGTTACTAGTGTTGAGCATAACAAAATGTCCCGAGTACGAAGACGGCCAAATTATCACCATGATAGCGACTTTGGCAGGAATAGAATTATTGCCTATCGACATGTTGGTTTGTCCTACCACTAAATTGGCCGCCCAGTTAATTATAGGTACTGCAATGACGGTAATGTGTGTATCGTGTGTGGATAGAAGAAGGTAGAAGAACACGAAGAAAGCCAACTGGTCCACCGAGGCATACTACAGAGCATCAAGATAGGCACTTCAGACAACTAGCTCTACGAGACCGTTTTGCTACTACGCATCAGATCGCTGACCAATGGTTTGGAGGAGGTAGACCTGTTACTATGCGTATAATCTATCGCCGCATTCGAGCCTTTGGACTTTTTTCATACCGTACATGGTTAGTACTTCCTCTCACTGTGGAACACTGTTGTCAATTTGAACTGAAGCAGAGAACGGCAACAGAATAGCATAATGTCGTCTTCAGCGACGAATCGCGATTCTGACAGCACTACACAGGACTGTTGGAGTAAAGGTTTGGGGGGCTATTGCCTATGGTAGCCGATCACCTCTTCTCTTTGTCATACTGCTCGTCGTATTACAGACTTTCTTCTTCAAAGAGCAGGAGATAACGCTTGCCGTGGTCACCCCGTTCACCGGATTTAAATCCCATCGAACATGTGTGGGGAGGATATTATCCAGTTGGCACCATCCGCTACATACTCTGCCACAGCTAATCCACAAAGCTCGAGTTGCTTGGAATGAGGTGCCACAACCAGACATCAATCATCTCATTTCGTCGATGCCTAGACGGATACAGGAGTGTATTCAAAATCAAGTTGAAGAAATTATTTTTTGTCGGAGTAACACTTCTAATGTCACTGACTATACGTTATACATTGACAGTGTCAAGCCTATTATTTCAATAAATAATATGTCATAGTTGCCCTTGGACATGACATCACATATTTAACCGATTAATTCACCAATATGCTTCAGTTTCTGAGAAGTGTGTTTAAAGGGCATTCAGATGAATAATTGTCCATTCATCGACTATAACAAGCGTTATTTTACGACATTGAAGGCGCTCTACATGACACTTCAGTCGCTAATTAAGATGTGTGCACAGATGTAAGTATGGCGGATATGAAATGTGTTTCGAAAGCTGCAATATCGTTGAGGCTTTTATTTACTCTAAAATCTTTCTACCAGTTACATGAAATAACACTGCTTTCAATGTTGTTTTTTATTGAGTTAAGACCATCTATAGTCAGGTTACTTTTCTAGACATTCGCAGATTTGTAGTATAAATCTATCTATGATATGTACAATATTACACCATTAAAACTGGATATATTACCTGTTCATAAGAAGTGAAGGAATGCTTGGCTGATAATATGAAATAAATTACCATTTGATGATTTCAAAACCTACTTAGAAAATTCGAAGTAACTATGTTTGGCAATCTCAATGTATGACGTACATTTTAGGAGTATGCAATATGGCGTCAATAAGAACAAATAAAGCTGATGATTGAGGACAGGAGACGAAACGTCATATTGAAATTCTAATTATTTCATCTTGTAAAGGAGAAACAGTGGCATTGTGATTGTGCTCTTTAATTTGAAATCCCATCTTGTTATATTTTCCTCTCCCGAAATACTTTAAGTGCCATTTTCTAAGTTACCTAAATGCACAACTTTGCCCCCATCTCGCTGACTTTGTACATCTTACCGTTCTCGAGATCCCAGTGGTGAGAGTCATCGCCAAGTATATTTACCTCTGGTACGTGATCATAATGGCAATCCTCAACATGGTGGTGCGTAGGCGGATGATGGTGGTGGTAATACTTAGGCTTGCTGCTCCCCTTAGTCTGACTACTAGCACTACTGAACGCTCCCACAGCCGCGGCTCCCGCTGTAGCTGAAGCTAAGGCCACCTGGCCTACTTTGGTACCCAGACCTTTGCCGATGGTACTGGCTATCTTGACCAGGAACGCTGTCGAGCCGACAGCTCCCACACCTGATCTAAGAAAACTCGAAAATTATATGCTTGACTACTACTACAGTTTTATCACTCATCATCTATTCTTCTGACGATGCTACATAAGGAAACTCTAATTTCGTACATTCTGTGTTGTAAACTCTGTAATAATCATAGTCGCCGCGTCAAAAGATCCAACATCACGAATACAGTGTATCCTTAAAGTTGAGACTTTCCTTTATAGGCAGTATATATCATGCAACAATAAGCAGATTCTCCTAGTAACAAATACAACATGGCCTTTAAGATAACTGGAAATGAAGTTTCAAAAGAATATTTTGTCCGCACAACCTCCTCACTCTGTACCTATAAGGTCCAGATAAGGCCTAGCCTTGAACACTGCTCACATGTTTGGTGCTCTCAAGGACGCTTCAATAACAAACAGTCCCAGCACGGGTATTACGTAACTTCATACCTTCGTCGATTTTTTGACATTTTGTAGGTTTTCTGTGACATAACGTAGGTTTTCCTACAAGATGTTAACTTGGCACAAGCTGTTGTATACTTGTGATCTCGTTTTGTAGCTCTACATGTTGCTTACTGCTTCAGTATTCAAAAATTTGAATGGGCTAGCCCGGCCAATGTAAAAGATACTACCTGCGTCTGTATTCAAACCATGCGATGCGCTGTGTGATGTCAGTTAACCTGCTTGTTCATTTACAAATAGGATTTGAAAAAAATACAAATTGGCATATTTTTATAACAACTAAGTTTACGGTGAGCGTCCTCAAGATTCCACTGATGCTTCGCGAGTGTCATCAGATCACTTTGCTGGATACTTCCGAGCTGCGAGAGTTTGTTTACGTTGTCTAAAGGCCATAGAGGTAGACACAGTAGAAGACATAGACAGTCCGCAATGTTGTTAGGGAGAAGTTGACACATTTTCGTTTTTGGATCGAACGGCGACAATTTTAAACAGTATTTACGAGCAAAACATGTGGCAGGACAGTACTTGAAATTTATGATCAATTTTCGTTCCAACAGTGCTACTTTCTGCTTGCAGATGAGTGTTGAAAGTGAGTACTTTGCGGAAAAGTATCACTTTCTGCACTTGTTAGGTAAATAACTATTTTGAACTTTCGTTGATGTTTTTGGCACGTTAGCCTTCCTATTCCAAACGTAATTGTTTCTCAAAAGAATAGTCTCAACTTTTAGGGTGCTCTGTGTTATAGCCCAGTGAACATGATGACGCCAAAATGAGGTCATTATTCGGTCACTTTTGGTCAGAAACGTCATTGAGTAAGATATGACGACTTTATTGACGCCATTTGTTATGACGGCAACAAGACATTCTTTAAAAAGCTATCATTTTGACGTGTTCTTTAGGACAGGTACTACTGAAAAATCAACACATACCTACAAAGAAAATAGAGAATTTTAATGAACAGTAAGGTAAACTAGATATCTAAATACTAATAACTGCTTTATTGTTATTTATAACAAACAGGAATTCTTCGTCCAAAAATATTCTGTTAACATGACTGTTCTAGTAATAATACTTCATGTTCAAATTGCCATTTTATACCAAGTTTTATTCCCGTAAATAACAAATTCATTAGAAACTTCTCTGTATAGCAATAAATAGGTTTTACTAGAATATTTGTAATCAAGCGCGGTAAATATTCAATATACCATTCGACCGACGTTCAAGCCCATGCGTGTCCGCCGTTTGGCGATGGTTCGGCATTGTTTTAAGGTACATTGTTGGAAAAAATTTAGTAGGGATGATAGTACTGCCACATAATCAATAAGGGTTGGAAGACATTCAGGAAAGTGTTTTGGCCTCCTTTGAAAAAGCAAAGCGATTTTGATAAATTGCTACAAGCAAATTCTGAACCATCCGAGGACTGGACCTTGTCTGAGATCAAACGGTATTTTTTAATCCTTTATAACCATTTCGATATAATTGCTCCTAAAAAATCGCCGAGGTGATATCGACGTCTCGGAACGAGAGGGTTCCAGAGTGGTAGGTAAGTAGAATATGAGTTTCGAAGCCTTTCTGCCACTCCTGAACTCACTGCATGTGAGGGCACCGTTGTCACATCCTCAACTTTTCAAGATCATTTGGTTCTTACGTTCTTACGTATGCGAGCGACTGTACGTCATATCAACGTCCCACAGACGTCATATCAACCTCAGATAGACGTCATGTTCATATCATTCAGACGTCATATCTACTTTGGTCTTTTAGACGACATACTATGACGTCAATTGGCTGTGACATTAGATTGTCATAATGATGTCATTTCTACGTATTTTTTGTTGGTCCATGTACGTCAGTAGTGCCCTAAAAATGCCGACATCATGAAGTTATGTTCTCTGGGAGGCTTAGTGAAGATCTGGTTTGAGGCCATCCATAGATGTTAGTGTCAAATTTATATGATAATCGGCATCTACATACTCGTTTCACCTATGAGACGGGTTTTTATCCAGATCACTGATAAGATGGCGATTTTGAAATTTTTTCTCATTGGAAATCTAATAAAAGAGTCTAATCATATTAGACGAAAATACCCCTGGCTTGCGAAATAATTGTAAAGTCTGGTTTTATTGGTGCAAATTGTTCAAGGGGGTATCCAAAACATGGACGCATGAAATGAGTACCTACAGCATTTTTTTGCGGGAAAACTTTTTATTCGACAACAAATGAATGAGAAAACGTGTTCTTTGGGATTCAATCGAAAGTGTTGGTAGGAACGAAAAAACTCTTCATATAAGATTTTTATGTATTAATGAGACATACAAAATGAGGCCACACATGAAAAGATCCGACAAATAGCAAAAAGGTTATGGCCGAAAACCGAGGCAAACTGCAGGTTTTGGAACTAGTTGGTAATGCGACGATGGTTTCTCGAAGATATTTGAAATTCTTCAAATTAGTGGGATTCGTAGTTTTAATAACCACAACGAAATTGGAGTAGACTGGTCAAGTACTTTTTGAGAATTTCTTATTGATTATCCAAAAAGTTTTCCAGTCATCACTACTAGTTTATTGAGCAATATACAGGGATACTTCAAAGGGCATTTTATAGTAAAATACAGGGTGCGGCAGAGAGGACGGACGTTTTTGGGATGGGTAGTACTCTCCGACTCCGTCTACGCGAGAGGTGAGGAAAGTGCCGTTTGACTCGTGAGATCCTAGCATTATTTTACCAGTTTTCGTTATGGAGCCTTGGACGGTGGAGCACCGCGTTTTCGCCTATGATTGTTTCGTCCGAAATAAGGAGTCAGTCATCGTCGTACAGCGTTAGTTTCGTCGCCACTTCAACATTCATCGAAATAGAGCTGTTCCCTCTCGAAACACCATCCTTCGTTGGGTTGAATCACTTCGCAGGCGTGGTGAACTGATCAACAGAAGACCAAGAGGAGCGCCGCAAACAGTTCGAACTCCTGAAAATGTTGAACGCGTTCGAAAGGTCTTTCTTGGCAGTCCGATTCGATCTGCCCGGAAACATGCTGCTGCACTTCGCCTTAGTGATCGTTCGGTAAGGCGAATTTTGCATATGGATCTCCGCTTTCACCCCTACAAACAGTTACAGCCCGGAGATTATGCACAACGAATGAACTTCGCACGTGAGATGGAAGCACTGATCGATCAAAATGAGAACCTCATTTTGTTTATGAGTGACGAAGCCCACTTTCACCTAAACAGCATGGTTAGCCAGCAGAATCGTCGTTATTGGGCTAACGAAAATCCGCGACAGTTACACGAAAGACCGCTGCACAGCCCAAAAGTAACAGTTTGGTGCGCTGTATAGCAAACTTGCATCATTGGCCCTTACTTCTTCTCTCTACATGGTAATGGTCGTGATGTTACTGTGAACTCAGAGCGCTACGTCGACGTTATTCGCCCTCTCTTCCCTGGTCGCCTTATTTCCAGGTTTGGCGATGTTCATTGGCCTCCTCGGTCCCCAGATTTATCCATATGCGATTTTTTCTTATGGGGACACCTCAAGGCTAGAGTATACGCGAACAAGCCCCGAACTCTGGACGAATTGAAGGGCGAAATTCGCGTGAAAGTCGCCCAAGTTGAGAGAGCGATGTTGGAGAGAGTCCACGCGAACTTCCAAGAACGCCTCCAGCACTGCATCAACGATTTCGACCACCACATGCCTGATGTGATTTTCCACACTTGACTGTCTCAAATGCTATTTCCTTGTGAACCTGATTCCATCAATAAATTTGTTTTCGAGTAAAAACTAACTATTTTATGATTTTTTTAAAACCGTCAATTCTCTCTACCGCACCCTGTACAATAGTTTACCTTGCCGATATGAATCGCAAACCGTTCCGGAAGATAAATGTTACTTTTATACAAAGGAGGATGGGTTACGTTTTTTCTTCTAAACAAATTGAACCATTTCGCATTTGTGAGTAATTCGCAACAAGAGATGATAGACACATCCGCTTTGTTTTAAAATGTGTATAGTAACGCATGCTTTTCGAATATCGTAGCGCATTTGTTCAATTACTCACAAATACGAAATAGCATTCATCTTTCGGAATTGTTTGTGATTCATATAAGCAAGGTAAACACGTGTATTTTGCTATTGGATGCTCTTTGAACGAACCCTGTATGTTGTTCAATAAACTAGTAGTGATGGCCGGAGAACAGGTGTTTTGGGATAAGCAATTAGAAATTCTCAAAAAACTACTTGACCAATATAATCCAATTTTGTCGTTGTTATTTAGATGTATGAATCCTACGGATTTGAAGAATTTCAAGTTGTTGCGTGAAATTATCGTAGCAAGTGCCAAAACCTGCATTTTGCCTTGTTTTTCAGCCATAACATTTTTCCTATTAGTCGGATCTTTTTACGTAATTTTGTAGGTCTCATAAGTACCTAAAAATCTTCTCATTCTTTGTTTTCAAATAAAAAGTATTCACACAAAAATTGGTGAACACATTTTATGCGTCCATGCTTTAAATACCCCCTTGAAAAACTTGCACTAATAAAGCCAGACTTCACAATTATTTCGGGGAAATTTGCTAATATGATTAGACTAAACTTGGTACACCTGCGTAATTTGGGGCACTTGTTAGAATAAGAGAATAGAACCATCGAAAAGTGCTCTCATATGCATGCAGTTAAAAGTCATACTACCTTTTTTTTCTCTCAATCTTTTTTTCGAACAGCGCAATTTGCCGTCTTTCCTCTGGAGTGACGTCGTCTAACGAGATGATCTCCAGTGGTGCCCGTATGGGGTTCCTCGAAGGCGGTGGTGAAGCTTGGCAGCATTGCGAACTGAAGATGATGGTGATGTATATCCAAAAGCAAATCTGAAACAAAAGTTGCAGTATTATAAAAGTAGTAATTGGAAGTAATTTTGAAAAATGGTGTAAGCATATATTTTTACTTCCCACCACTCAGTGGCGGAGGAACTATGTATTGTAATTGCGAAAGAATTCGAAAATAATTTATTATGTTGTTCAGATCTTATATGACTTCACGAAAAACCAAATCGTCATTTCCTTCAGTCTGGGTCTGTCTGTCCGTCTGTCCACTATAATCCTTGGATCCTGTATAACTTTTAAAGTACTACTCGGATTCAGATGAAACTTCAGTACAAGGTTTCTACTATGTAAAGAACGGAAAAGCTTGGTTGTAGCTTTAGGTTTTGAAAATCGGTCTGGTGGTGGCGGCGAAAAAGGTCAAAAACGAAAAAAAAATGATGTAAAGAATGGAATGTGGGGGTTGTAGGGCAAGAGGGGAGGGTGCATCGCAGTTTTACGTATAAATTAGTCATAGTTATTTCACACCCACAGATTTTTCCGCACATTTGTCCTTTAGGCTTAGAAACATTTTGGGCCTGATGAAGCCAACCAGTAGAAATACGTATCGCTCGGGTTACCTATCCTATTTTCTGCTCGAATCCACTTTCCTCCTTTTTGCGGATTTTGCCCATTATTTTCCTACTTTATATATATATATATATATATATATATATATATATATATATATATATTATATTGTGTGTGGCAATCCAATTTTTGGTCAGATTTGCCATGATGGTCACTGACGAAACAACTTATGAGTCGTGAAATGGCACTGGTTATTTGTTTGTTTAAAATTAAAGTAAAAAAAAACCATTAAAGCTAAAGCTATCCGTAAAGTATAAAAAAGTGAAAATAAAAAAGGAGGTAAAAATATTAAAACACAAAGAAATAGTACATTCACAAATCATTGAGATGCTCACATTAAAAAAAATATTAAACCTGGACACTAATAAAAATATGTCTATCGTAAATATAACAAAATATAGTAATAATAAAATTAATATAAAAAGAACACTAAAAATACACGATAATCATCACATTCATACAGACTTACTATATCTGGCCTTTACATAAAGGTATGTACAACGTTTTGCCATGGATTGTTGTCTAGGGATGGTTTTTATCCACAATGAAATCCTTATTATTCTTATTTTAAATAATCCAATATTTTGTATTGTTTTGTAGGTGACAGGCATTTCACTGTACAGCTTAGGGCATAGATAAACCCAATAGGTTGTAATATTGTTCTTTCTGGCTTGAGTACTATTTGGTGCAGAGTCACTTTCTGGCGGGTGTCGTATTTATGGATCATTTTTTCATGATAAGTAATATTTTTAAAGTAATACACCATGAAATTATAAATAAAAATCTGTTTTAGACGGATGAGTTTTCTTTGTGCTAAAAATAATCTTTACTATATGTTTTTGAGCAATTTCTAAGTTTCTTAAACATGAGAATGCAGCTCATCCCCGACCAATTACTCCGTAGCAAATATGTGACTGCACAAGTGCGTATAGTATACTACTCTCATACAATCAAAGCTAAGCACGTTTGTAAGGGACTCGAACTTTGGCATAAGGCATCTTATTTTCTTGGTTACATACTCAATTTGTACATCCAATCTTAGATTTTCTTCAATATAAATACCGAGGTATTTAACGCTGGTTTCACGTTTAATAGTTACACTACTTTTTGTCGTTAATTTCAGTATACGGAGACAAGTGACCCTTAGAAGACCCGAAGGGTACAAAGGTAGTCTTCGCAGCGTTGACTGTTGATAATTTGCTGTTAAAATATGCTAGTAAATTTTTAAGGTGGTTTTCAATATTGGTTTCCAGTGCATCCCAGTTTGAGGCTTCATAAATGATAGCAGTATCGTTTGCGAATCCTAGCACTGTACCCCCAAATCTATTGAGAATAAAGCTTATGCTAAACTTCGCCCAACAAAGACGTTTTATTATTATTATAATTTACTATAGAAATGGTAACAACCCTAACAGTAAACTGAATTTGACCCTAAAATCCCAGAAATCGCGGTTTGTTTGTCAGCTCCTCCAGGTTCTTTGTAAGATTAACTGTTTTCGATTCCCTAGGGGTTACTTACATAACCGAGGTATTGCGACTATAAGGTTTATGCCAAGTAATGAAAGCAAAATCAGATCGTAGGTTCAAAACTTAGGCACTAACTCTTATTTTCTGAAATATGTCGAATTTTTTAATAAACGTGTTATTTTTTAAATTGATCGCAATATGTGGTTTCTAAGGTGATAGTACATTCTGGCATTATTCCTTTTTGATATCTCCATCTCCCAATCCTTCTGTTTTAAGCTATACTGATTCACATGATTAATATGATTAATATGAGGAAGCAATTATTGCAGGTGTAATGACTAGAATGATTATCAGAGTATCAAGTTAATTGACACGGTTTTACTTTCTATCTGTATTTAGGGCCGTTATAACATCCATAATTTTATAATTTAGCTAAATATCGATTTTACATAAGAATAATTATTTACCATTTGCGAAGTGTAAAGTGTCATTTGTCATTTTATATTGAGTCAGCCTCGTAGGCAGAAATCTAAATATCGAGGCACCACATTTGTTGGAGCTTAAAGAGATCTTGCTTATCCGATTTTGAACTACCTGGTTGGACCATCGGGTAGTCTCAATACGCGGCGGCATTAAAAAGAGCTTTGAAGAGCAAAGTCCGTTGATATAGCGGTGGAAGAGAGCTGCACCGCCTGTCGTTAGTGAGTCGGACAGTCCTCATGACAGCATCGAGTTTTGACAACGTAGTCGGAGCGGTAGCACCCAAATCATGTCAGAAGTACTTGAGAATGGGATAGGAAGTCAGCCATACATCTGTAAAAGTTCTCTGGGATGAAAGCTGACATAACAGGGCGGCATGCCACAGCTGATCGAATGCTTCCGTGATATCAAGCGACATGAGATTCACCAAGTGATTGGATAAGTTTACTCCATAGTTGTGTGGCAAAACCAAGAATGTCGTCTGTTGATCGATGGTGGCTTAGTACCTATCGCTAATCAAGCCGTGATACTCGAGATACTCCCGATTGATGCACTTCTTCATGCCTTCATGATTGTTTGCATTCCTGTTGAAAAATATAAACTTATATGTGTACGATTTCTTGGACAAACCCTTCCGTAAAGATAAATGTGTTTATTGAGAACAGAAATGTAAGAAAAATTTTGCCCACCAACTTTCAGGATCGATTGTTATTACTGGTCTGCGTGGAAAGTTCAGAGTTAACCTACTCAACCAATCCATTATATACGAAGACGATGTTGATATCCATTAATCTGACATATAAATCCGTTCTCTATTCAAGTATGCTCCAAATGCTACGTCAAAAACATATTAAACGCCTGCAGAATTCTGAAGCACTTTACATTTTTTTAACCAATAACTTTCCCTTTCTCTGAGTTCATAAAATTTTTTTCGATTGCTCGCTTTATGAGAATTTCTACTTGAATGTACCTATTTATTAGCGATATTTTTTCATAAGAAACGCATTTTCTGTCTTTCATGGCAGTGGGGAGAAAAAACAGATAATTAGGGTAACGTACAAAGAAGCAGATCTTGATATTGCTCAAAGCTATCCTCTTCCTCAACAATGTTGTAAGTTATTGTTTGAAGTAACAGTAAGTCTCTGGCCAATCTACTATATACTTCCCACGCAATGTTTCATCAATTAGATTGTTATGTATACTAAGTGACATATAAATCCGAACAGTTTAAATGGTTTTATTTTAATGAAAGGTGGTCAATGTCCTCCTGTGGTATCTCATTCCAGGTAACCACCAACTCCTCTCGAAGTGCTTCTAGAGTCTGAGCAGGACGTTGCAAATTGAGCAATCTCCTACCCATCATATCCCACACGTACTCAATTGGGGATAAGTCGGGAGATCTTGGTGGCCATGGTAACAATGTGACATCATTATGTTGAAAGAAGTCTATTGTGACTCTTGCAACATGTGGTCGGGCATTATCTTGTTGGAAAGTTGGATCTGCCAGGGTGTCAAGATAGGGTAAAAGATGGGGTTCTAGAACTTCGTGGATATAACGCTGCGCGTTCATGTTACCTCTGATGAAGATTAAAGGTGACCTGGAACCATAAGCTATAGCACCCCAAACCATAACTCCAACAGTGTGATGAACATGTCTTTCAACAAAAAACTGTGGATTCCTCCTTTCACCACGTCGCCTTCTAACCCTGGCTCGACCATCGTGCATGTATAAACAAAATCGAGACTCGTCACTAAAGACAATACTGTTCCATTCCTGATCCCAGAGTGACCTTGTCTGCACCACTCAAGGCGATTACGTCGGTGTTCTCGAGTTAGAGGGAGGACCCAGTGTGGTCGGTATGAAAACAAGCCAAAACTTCTCATTCGTCGGTAAACAGTTCGCATGCCAATAGGTCTTCCGTGTTCTGCAAACCACTCGTTTGCAATGGACCTGGTAGTGGAGAAACGGTCCCTTAAGGCCAATAATCTTAGGCGGGGATCTTCACGGTCTGACAACACCTAACCACAGTGTCTACACTTCTTTGCACTCTAACTGCAATTGCCCGAAAAGAAAGTCCAGCTTCCCGAAGTCCCACTATAAGGCCCCTATCAAACTCAGAGTGACCGTTGTCTGCACCACTTAAGCCGATTACGTCGGTGTAAGGGTTAGAAGGCGACGTGGTGAAAGGAGGAATCCACAGTTTTTTGTTGAAATACATGTTCATCACACTGTTGGAGTTATGGTTTGGGGTGCTATAGCTTATGGTTCCAGGTCACCTTTAATCTTCATCAGAGGTAACATGAACGCGCAGCGTTATATCCACGAAGTTCTAGAACCCCATCTTTTACTCTATCTTGACACCCTAGCAGATCCAACTTTCCAACAAGATAATGCCCGACCACATGTTGCAAGAGTCACAATAGACTTCTTTCAACACAATGATGTCACATTGTTACCATGGCCACCAAGA